TTGCGTTCCTGACAGATTATTGCATGCCTCAAGAGCTGCTGTAATGTGGGAGGTTTGGAGGCTGCGTGCCTGGCACCATCTGAGCAGGCTGATAGCCCTACAGAGACGCGCTGCCTGCAGTGCTGCTCTTCATTAGCAATGCAGAATGCAGCAGTGAGGATGCAAGGCAGAGTGGGGACCTTCCCCAGGACCTCTGTCTGCTGTTGGGGTTGGTGCCAGAGGGTTTGTCCCATTGCTGAGCTGAGTGATGAGCAGAGGGGAAACCTTCAGCAGGAGCTGAAAGTGCAAAGAAAGGAGTTATGGGGATGCAGAAGATGAGTGGGAGCAGTGGGATGGATGAGATACCCAGGGCTATAAAACACATGATCACCTCCGACCTCTGCCTGAGGCCACATCTTCACTGCCTGGCAAGGAGTGCAGGAAGCTTTTGTCAGGCTGCAGCTAGTAGTTGCATTGTAGCTAATGCAGAACAGTCCCTCCAACAGTTTCCTGTTGTTGCATAGTTTCTGGCAGGATGCAGAGGGAGAGAAAGCTCCAGAGCTGGTGGGGATTGGGAGTTCGTTGCAAAAAGGCACTGCCTTCAGGTCAAGAACTGAAGGTAGATTCCATGCCTCGTGTCCTGTGGGAGAAACCCCATACTGCAGCATGACTTAGGGCTGGAGTGCTTCAATCTGGATGGGTTTAAGCAGGAAAAAAAAGCAGGCAGTGCGGTTCCTCCATATAAACCCTGCACATGTGCTGCCATCGCCATGGCTGCATGTGTCTCTGATTTCCATGCAGCCTGGGAAATGCCACATCCGCCTTACGTTTGGAATATTTCATCTCTGAGGGCTGAACTTAACCCTGCTTTCTCCTCCTGGACAGACAGACAGACAGGCTGGGGGCAGCTGAGTAGAGACAAACGCAGCCTGTGCAAAGCCTTGTTTAACTGCCCTCACTTCTCACGTGGGATCTGCGGGTGTCGATGCCTTCGGAAGGGCACTTTGTGTATCTTCGCACCGCTCCTGTGTGTGGCACTGTTTGCACAGTGTTGATTGCTCATCCTGTACTCCTGTCCTGGTGCACAGCTCCCATCTGGAGGGGGAAACTGAGGCACGCAGAGCAAAGTCACTTCTAAAGGTCTCACAATGGCAGGAAGCCAAGCTGGGATGGCAAACCCAAGGTCCCTTCTTGTCCCTGTCCTCTCCTCTTGCTGTTTTGCCCAAGCCGTGCTCCCTGGAAAGATGTCACCTCCTTCAGAGTGTGGCAAACACCCACCTTTGGGACGCTGTGTGCCCGAGTGAGTCATGCAGGAAGAGCACAGAGCTGGGAGGTGGGAGCTGGGCACTTTCCAGGAAAAGCTGGGCTGAAAACCACATAAGCCATTTCCTTGCAGACTCGAGCCATTATCCCACCGCCAGACACAAGCATGTGGCACTCGGTGAGTGCTGGGGAGGTGGGAGGTGCTCCCACATGGCCTCGATGCAGAGCTTTGCTCCCAGGAGAGTGCCCAGCAGGGAATGGCCGTGGAGCCTTTGCTGCCACATTGCTCTTTTCACTTCTGTGGCATCCATGCAGAAACCACCCCATTGCCTTGTTAGCAGCAACAGGCACAGGGCAGTTCCCTCCCCGCGTGGTTTTTTGGCCTGTTTTAACCCAAGCTAGACAAGAGCTAAGAAAAATCCCTGCACCCCATTTGGAGGGATGGGGGCCTTTCCTGTGGGCTGCAGCCCATACAGCTTTAAAGCAAATATCCACAGCTCTGAGCTCCTCCTTCTATGGAAGAGGCACTCCTGGCTCCAAGAGCAAATCTGAGGATGTGATTGTCTGTTCTGTGCTGAAACACTGCAAGATCAATGGGAGAATGGTATTGGAAGATGTTGATTTGAGCCGCAGTCAAGAGAAGTTGCAGCTTTCTTGCAACTGGAACTGTAGGAGTCCTAGTGTTACCCCTGGCAATTCATCCCATTCCTCTTTTCCAGAAGAGGAACCAACTCTGCATCTCATGGGACACTGACGGGTTGTTCAGCCAGGCAGCAGAGCTCAGGCCACGAAACAGTGATGTTACTGTGAGCTTTGGCCAAAAACACAGCAAAAATGCCAAAATTCACTGCAGGGAGTTGGGCTGGGTGACCTTTAAAGGCCCCTTCCAACCCAAACCATGTGGTGATTCCGTGATCCCTTCAGTGCATCTCCCTGCTCTCTCTGTGCAGTTGTCTTTGTTCACAAGTCGACCAGCAGCAATTGTGTGCGCTCTATAAACATTTAATGGAAGAGACACTTTTAATGTAATTATAATTTAAGCATAAAATATGTCACTTCTGTAGGATTTTGTTGTCAGGCACATAATTACTTTATGGCACTATAAAAATATATTACATTACGATGCCTTGCCGTGCTTTTCTCAAATAATTTATAGCACAGTAATAGTGTGGAACAATTCAAGACCATTGTATCCAATCTAGCATATGCATAGGAATTGTGGAAAATAATGATGGTGGTTGAGTGCTCATTTGATTATTTTTCAGTCTTGGCTGCGGTGTTTTGTATCCCAATTTCATTCCTACATCCCCACTGGGTTATATTCCAAGTATTCCGAGGGAGACTTTTAAAACTCAAGGCCATGAGAGCTGAACATGGAGGACTTTCTTTAATGTCTCTCTCCCAAACAACAGGAGGGAAGAGTAGGGTTGGCTGCAGGTCGGCAGGGATGGAAACTGCTTCCAGAACATCTTTCCAAAGCCACGTGTTGGAAACCTTTCCACTGCGAGCCCGCTGACATTGACACAAAACGTGGATGGTTGGCCTTGATGACCTTAGTGCTCTTTTCCAGCCTTAATGGCTCTGGTTTCTCCAGATTTGCAAACCAAACCCTTTCTGCTTTTGAGGTTCTTAACATCGATGCCCTCGAACCAAAACTTTAGTGACTTCTGAAGCAAGACATCGATTCGAAAACAGCCACCCTGTTTTCACCTTAGAAAGAGGGAAGTGAAATGTTTCTCTCTTCCTCTCAGCAGTTGTTTCCCATCTTGGCACCCCCCATCACACATATCGGCTGCTTTGGGGCACCCAGTGCACCCATGCATTGCTATGGGAGTGCTGCAGTGGGGCAGAGCCTGGTTCTGCCCCTCCACCATGGGGGGTTCTTTGCCCCAAGGCCATTTATTTGTCTTTTGAAGGAGCTGTGAAGGCGGGTTGAATGGGAGTTCCAGGCAGAGCCATCCTCATGAGCAGACTTTAAAACTGAATTTACAGCTCCGGAAGGGTTTGGAAGGCTCAGTGGTATCGTAGGAATCACAGTTAGGAAGCAATAATGCTTTTCTTTTTAATCTCCGTGCTTTCCTCTGTGTGCACGTAGGAAGCTGCCATGGATGTGCGGAATAGAACCCGTGGAGTTGGCATCCCCTGCCCTCCAACCACAGCGACTCCACTTTGGGCTGCGTGCCACCCCTCCATGGGAGCACTGAGTCACAGAATTGCTCCGTTGTGAAACTGAATAAAAGAAGGGGGTTTTATTATTTGGGGCTGCAACCCCAGGAGCAATGTCCCCAATCTGGGCAGGTTTGTGGCAGCATCACCAGGGAAGAGCCATCTTCCTCCCACCACGTCCATGGCCGGGAGCTGGGGCAAGGGTCTGAAAACAGCAGTGGGCTCTGTGTATGCATCTTCAGCAAAGAGACTCATAAATGCAGCTGGGACTGAAAATCAATTCTTTAAAGCTGAAATCAATAACAATAACTAATATTAATAGTGATTATCCTTTCTTTATTGCACTTTGCAGTTGGAAATGAATTGTTTTTAAGGATTAGCGGCAGCTGAACTCTGTAATGCAATGTAAGACCGAAGATTTACTATGAAAACACAGCTTATGAGGAAAGACCCATTACTGCTGATGGAATACACTTCTGAAATAGCTACTGCTGCTGCTGCCGTGGAGCAAATGGAGCCTTGGAACCTGCAGTCAGCAGAGGGTTTAGATTGCTGGCAGGAGACGGGGATTTGGGGCTCTAACCCTGTCTGGTTTTCTTGCAGTCTGACTTCTTGGTTCCCAGACATCCCAAATGCATTTTCATTTTTGGTATCTTTTATCCGAAACAGCCTCAGACATGCAAAACTCTGGGGGGAGGGGAGGAAGAAAGGGAAGTACGCTAAGCCAGCCATATATCTATCTGAGTCAGCCATACGTATATGAGACAGCAGTGTCGAGAGCTGTGTGTGTCAGAGTTTCCAAAAAGCAGAGAGCGTGAGGTGTTTGCTGAGCGCTTTAGGAAAGTCTGGTCTCGAGCATCCCCATGGGAGCCCTTATGTTCTGAAGGGCTTCTGCAGACTGAGTGCTCTGATGAGCGGTGTCAGACTGGGAGGCTCCTGCGGAGAGATGGATGCAGCATGCCCGGGGCACCAGGCTCCATCCCATTCTTCTGCCCATCTGTCTGCTGAGCCCAAACCACGCTTTGTGCTTCTGGTTCTCGTCACCAGACAATGGTGATGCTTCAGGTGTTGGGAGCGGATTTGGGTTGGTTTGGGTTTCTTTGGTGGAGTAGAGGGGGTTGTGAACCAGGGATACTGTGAGTCACTCTGCTGCCAACAGTTTATTTGCAGTCCCTGGGGGTCTTTATCTGTGAGAACGCAGCCCCATCTCCTCCCATGCTGTTCCTTTGTGGGAGCTCTGGGCATCTTGCTGTTGGACTTAGAGGCCACCAGCCATTTCCATACTCAAAGACCAGCAGAGCAGCCACCTGGCAGGCACAGGTCATGTCTTCAAGTTGCCTTTAGCCCCACTTTCTTCTGGGAGAAAGCAACGTCTGCAGTGAGAGCAACTGAGAAAGCTTAGGCATGGCAGCTGTAGCAGAAATGCTAAGTCAGGGCTTGAAGCAGTGATTGAGCACCTGGTGGGAAGGCAGGGCCAACCCAGGGCAGCTCAGGTGTATCCAATGCACTGAGTGACCAGAAGGGTTGGAGCCAGGATCCACCCCTGCCCAGACCTCACTTAAGGGTTGGCAGTGGGAGCAAGGGCTCTTGCTGGAGATCCCTGTGCACTGTGGTTTTTGAAGGTAAGCAGCTTCTTTCCTTTGTTTCTGTATTCACGGCTGTTGCAATTGAGCAAATCCTCACTTGCTGCAGCCTGGGACCTCGCTGTTGGATTGCTGCCTGGTTGGCACCTCCAGCGCGCAGCATCCTGAGGCCACTCAGCTGCAAAGCTCCTCCACTTTTGATTCCTGGGTTGTTCACTCACTTTTCTTTTTAACACTGTGAAGTTTTTCCTATTAGCCAAGTTGTAAAGACAAGCAGAATGAAAGCTTCTGCAAACAGCAATAGATCAGTGGCAGCTGGTGTGAGCAGACCGATCCCATTGCCTTATTGATCTCTGTTAAAGGGGATTGACATTTTTCACCCAGTGCAGGTTCCTTCACTTTTATTGGAAGAATGGGCTTTCCTCCAGGAAGCTGGGCTCTGTTTTTTTCTACCGTGTTAGTTCACAGCTGCTTTCCCATTGTACAAAGACTCATATCGTGCTTATCCTGACATCCCCAGGTTTGCTGGTAATCTGTGTTTGAATCATGAAGTGCACTTTTCAATGGACACGACATTCTGCTAACTGGAACAGTAACTGTTTATAAAACGAAGGTAACTCAGATGACTCAATGTTTCCTGCTGAGCTGCTTTCCTTCCCTCACTTGTGCCTTTCCATGGAGTTTTCAGCCATCTCAGAACAGAAGCACTGGGAATTCTCCCAGTTGGGTTGAGTGCTCTGAGCTCCCTTCCATCGGTGCCAGCCTGGAAGGATTTATGAGCACTTTTCTCAGCCTGGCATGTGGTGTGCAGATGTCTCAAGACTGGCTCAGCTTTGAACTCCCTCTAACCGTTCAATTTTTTTCAGTTGTGCATCATTGTTAATTTCCTCCAACTCATCTTCTGGGGGTGGAGGGCTGGAAAGCAGCTTCTTTTTCCTTGCTCAGAGACAGCCTCTGTGGTCCCACAGAACGGAGATAGCGGTGTCACTCCCTTGGGAAGGGCTGTGAGATGGCAGCAGGGATGATGCTGGAGTTGCCCCATTCTTGAGAGGCTCGAAGGGGAAAACCTTCTGCCACCTGGGTGGTGTGCGTGCTGTGAGGATGCACTGAGATGTGAGCATTACCTGCCCACCTCCTTCCAGCGCAGTGTCTGCTGGCTGGCATCTCGTTCAGATGCTCATACTTTCCCCATGGGTGTGTTTTCATTCACAGAATGAGTCACAGCAAGGGGCAGGAAGAGCTGACAAACAGCCTGCTGGTCCACACAGGCTGGGTGCACACAGATCCCTCCCTGTGGACGCCCAGGGGATGCAATTCCCAGCTGCCTGAAAGGGAAATTCAGGAGCTCAAAGCCTTCTGCAAGGGCTGAGCATCCTATGCTGACTGTGGGAACTGATGACCTTTTGCAAATTGCTCCTTTGGGCCCTTTTTAAATTTGGGATTTTCCTCACATGTACTCCAACTGCATCCATCTGACGGGTCTGAGAGCCCTGCAAGGCACGGGATGCCAGCAGGTAGTGAACCCTGCTGCTGCTTCTACACACACACTGTTTTCAGAGAGGATGTGGTTAGTGATACACCTCTCTGCAGCACTGCTCTGCTGTGTCCCGGCTCCCTGCCACCTCCTCGTGTGTCTGCCCACTGCCTGGCACCAACACAGTGCAAAAAGGGAGGGGACAAGGTGTGGGGGATGGAGAGGGGCTGGGGAGAAATGAGATAACGCAGGGATTGATCCGTCCAAAGGTTAAGGAGCTGAACTAATTTAACTCTCGTTAGCTTATTTATTGTCCCTGAGTTATATTTGCGACTACGACTGAGCAGATTACTGTGGGATTGCTGGGTAGATTTAGAAACCCGGGGTGTTTTTCTAGCTCTGTGCATGTGTTTGTGTGCGTGTGCTGCTCGCTCTGAGCATTCCCCTTCCTCACTGCCATTAGGGATGAATGCGAGCACTCATCTGTACATTTAGAGGCAGAGAAGGGGGGGAAAAAAATAATCTTGCTCATCAGATCAGAAGCTAAATTTATGCTGGGTACAACATATGCTCTTTGTTATACCATGAAAGCGTTGGGTAATAATTCCTCTGCCCTCAGAAACAGGGACACTTACTGCAGTAAAAGCATATAGATATATATAAAACCCTCCCACTGGTGGTAAACACATGCGTCATGTGTGACTGCTGGAAGCTGGTAAGCTCTGGATGGGGATGAGTAATGTTTGTTATGGCCCTGTGACTGCCAGGCACTCGGTAGCAGGAGCAGCACGGCAGTGGCATAGGGCTGAAAAGAGAGACCAAAGTCTCATCCAGGCTTGGCTGCAGGCTCCCAGCTTGATCTGTTTGGCCTCCCCACTCCCTTGGGTGCCCCATGGCCACGTGAGGCTCTCTGCAGGAGTCGGAGGAGTGGGATGGGTGTCTCAGAGAGGGGCAAGGTGTGTTGCTCAGACAGCTTTCTCAGAGCCGTCTGCTGTTACATCAGTTTCTTTTCTGTCTCTGTAAAACAGCCACAAAAAACAATGACTAATTTCTCTGTGGAATATTCATCTTTAAAAAGCCAGACCTGGGGCTTCAGTGCTCGTGAAGCCTTCCAGCTCCTCAGGTTGGAAAAATTTATTCTCTGGAAGAGTGGTAATGCTTTGGAACTGCCCAGGGAGTGATGGAGTCCTGGTCCCTGGAGGTGTTCCAGAGCCATGGAGATGTGGCACTGAGGTCAGTGGGCATGGTGGGGTGGGTTGAGGATGGACGTGGGGATCTTAGAGGTCTTTTCCAACCTTAATGATTCTGTTTTTCTTCCTTGAAGTTTGAGGCTTGTAGACCTGGCTGGGAAAGGATCTAAATGGGGAGCACGTGGAGAGCTGTCCTGGATGAGGCCAAGCACAGCAGGTAGTGCAGGGTGGTTTTGGAGCTTTCCATAGGAGTTGGACTCGATGATTCTTATGGGTCCCTTCCAACTTGAGATATTCTATAATTCTATGGGAATTTGGAAGTGTGGGGTCCAGGCTTTGTGGTATCACTCATAGACCTGCTGATGTCCCAGATGAACCCTAGTGATTGCTACACTGGGTCAGAAAGATCAGAGAGAGATTCTGAGGATGTCAAGGTGATGGCTTGGAAGATGTGGCTGTGGGACATGAGATCAGCAGGGCTGCTGCTCCATCCATTCATCCATCGTGTCTCCAACCATCACAGGTCGTTGTGATGAGGAGACCAATGGGAAATCAATGAAAGAGGAAGAGCTGGTGTATGGAAAGTGCCTGTGCCCATGTTAGAAAGCAATATGTGTAAGGACAAAAGGGAAATTACACATGTGTATGAATACAAACCTACCCATCATGGTAAGTCAGGAATAGAGCCATGAAGAGCCATGGAGTGGTGCTGCCACCAGGAATCAGGGCAGGTCCCTCCCAGGTCTGATCACACTGAGTGCTGGTCCAGCACTGGCCCCAAAATCTTCTGTGTTAGCAGTCAGATGGAAATATCTTCCAGAATAAAGGCAGCAGTGTGTGGGGGTTCAGCTTGCAGGCAAGCCCAGACTGCAGTGCTGGAGCCATGCGTGTGGCTCCTGGAACATCGGCTCAGCTCCTCCAGCAGGTCTGCTGCAAACACATGGGGACAGCTATTGTGTGTACAGTCTGTGGCTGCTTATTTTATTTGTCGGGCAGAGGGATAATTGACAGGTGGCTGTCTGGAAGAGATGAAGCCCTCCAGCAAAACTCTGCAGCTCCAGCAAGATGCGAGCGACAGAGAAATGGCTCCAGAGGTGATAGACTTGTTACTTTTAACACCGCCGGAGATGGAAGGGAGCAGGGTTGAATCGCAGTTCAGAACAATCATACCTAACTGCTGAACTAAATAAAAGCGATGATTTCATACCGGTGTCTGCGGCTGCCTCAGACTGAGCTGGGATTAACGAGTGTGCTGTTGCCTTCGGAAGGGAAGTGCACGCCTGAGGACTTTGGGTTCCTTTTTTAAGGGGAGCATCACCCAGGAGGAGGGCAGAGATAGGGAATGGGTTGCACCCAAGGCAATGCTGATGTTTATCCTCCAGCTAACAAACGTTGCTGAGAAAAGCAGGGGAGAGGACAGTGTCTGTGGTGCCCAGGTACCCCATGGGCTGGTGCCCACACCCCACCAGCTGCAGGTATTCATCTTTCCTCGTTTCCTTTTTTTCTTTTTTTGGTCCTTTTTTTTTTTTTTTTCTAAATGCCCTGCTTGGGACTTTGATGCCTACAGATCTCCTTCAGGCCTGGCCCTTATGCTCCTCAAAGAGTCTGCACCTATTTTGATGACGTGAAGCATTATCTGCTCCAAACTCATAAACAAAAACAGAAGCTTAACCATTAACCCCCTCCATCACAGCACCCCAACCCATCGCTCTCTGAAAGCTGACTCCTCACAGGGCAGGTTTCTGTCTGTGTTTTCATCAATCTCAAGCAGTTTTTTAAACTGTTCACTAGAGTTTGCTCCCTGCTACGTTTATGATGTAGCACTACAGAGGCTCTCAGCCTGCCATGCTGCATGCTGTGGTGGTTTGGGACTGGCAGAGCTGAAGCCTGTTGGCTGCCTCCCTCTGCTCTCCTACCTCTGTGTAGCTTTGCAGCAAATCAAAGTGCAACAAATGGCTTTGCATCATGTCTTTGAGGAGCCCTGGGCCTTGTATGTTATCTTGAGGGCAGAGTATATGCTCCAATAAAAGAAGGCTTTATTACCAACTGCAACAGAGCTAAGGATCCAAACACGTATCGCCTTGTGAGTTTGTCGTAAACTCCCTTTTATGGCCCATCCAGTTTATGGCTAATGGAGATTTACAGTGGGAAGAAGGGGCCGTGTGCTCTAATTAATGTGGTTATTTGGCTGGGAGGGCTCAGCACAGCCAGCCCCGTGCTCGCCCTTCATCACGGCCCTGCAGAGCACACAGACAGTGTCTGTCCCCACATGAGGACTCACCGTATGGATGGGGAGCTGAGGTCAATTCTATGGGCTGCCAGAGGAGCTGAGCACAGCGTGGGGCAGTGGAGGCTGTGCTGAAAATATCCCATCCCTCCTGCTTGGGTGGTGCTTCTGTCAATTAGAAGTCATTGCTCCTCATCCGTCTTTGGGCTCTCGATGAGTTCTGACCCCAGTTCCATCCCCACCATCACTATGGACCTGGGATGTGGCCCTGTTAATATCAGCCTGACTTCCATCACATGCAGCTGTGCTGGAATGAAGCTACAAATGAGGCAGATTTCATGTGGTTGCAGCTCCTCTCTGGGAATGTTTCATGCCGCTTTGCTCAGCAATTAAAAGCAAGGAGCTGGGGTGAGAACAGTCCTGCTAATGATTTGCAGTCCACTCCCTTGAGCTAAGCTGTCTTTGCAGAGCCAAAATTATATGATATCAGTCTCCAGAAGCTACCACAGAAGTTAAACATTAAGTGGCTTATGTTGCTGGAAACTTCCGTTGGCTTCAGCTTGATCACAGGTCAAGGATGCCGTCATCGAGAGCAGCCTTGATCTCCAGCAGCCGCCATGGAAATGGCCAAGCCCAGAGGGACTGAAATACAGCAGGGCCATAAATCTAGCCCTGTGGGGCAGCCCTGTGCTCCCGACCTCACAGAAGAGTGAGAATGCTGCTGGAGGAGCCCACAAACCCAGGAGGGGCTTCGGGAGCTGCATCAGGTGGAAGAGTGCATCCAACTCATGATGCTGGAGAGCAAAGCGCTGATTTCCCACATCTCACCCAGCCCTGAGAGCAGAGCCAGCTGAAATCCTGAGTGCTGAGAGGATGGTTTTGCCCTGATTTCACTCTAGGAATTTCCTGCAAAGCAAAAAAGGCACAGGCTGAGAGCTGCCAGGATTCTGGAGGCAAATATCCAGGAATTGGGCACCCCTTTGAGGCACGGCGAGGTCTGCAATGGGGAAGGAGAAAAAGATTCAGGGCTCTTTCTCACCACTATTATTAATATTCAAATTAATTAACTGTGCTGAGGGCTGGAGGAAATTGAATGTGGAGAACAACCTAAGCTCTGCTTTAGATTTTAAGCCATTCAGGGCTTTGATGTAAAGCTTGTGCTTTTATTATTATTATTTTTAAATCTCTTGATTTTTTTTTCTTTTTATGCAAACACCTGGCCTGCTTTAGAGGCGATATAACAGTAATAAATGATCCTTATTAATTGGCCATTGGCTGATGGGGAGCAGCAGGCTCCCAGCAAAACAGGGTGCATTCATGGGGGTTATGGAGCCAGGTTTGGGGAGGGGATAATGGGGCTGAGCCCCCCCCCCCAGCATCCCAGTATGGGGCTCCCAGCCAGGTAGGGAGCTTTGGTGAGGTTAAATAATAAAAAAAAGCAGCTTTAACGAGGCAGAGCTTAAATACACGCACTCCCTCTTTACCCATTTATTAAGTAATATTGAAACACTTTTGTCAAAGCTTAGGCACCAAATTTCTGACACCAGATGAGCTCTAAAGCTAATCAGGGGCTGGAAAAATGGGAATATAATTAAGGCTGCTGACAGCCCCGTGTCATTAACCTCACAGCTCTCAGGTGCCATGCTGAACCACAGCTGCAAAAAATACTGCATTACGGGCGGTTGGTTTCAGCTGTGGAAATGAATTTGGCTTTTAATGGCTCTGTAATGTCTCTAGGGCTGAGGTGGTGGCAGGAGGAGGGTGGTGGTCTGTGCTGGGTCAGCTTGGCTGGAGCTGATCAGTGGTGAAAGAGTGGGGGAAAATGAGGGCTTTCTGGGTGAGGGTTCAGGCTGGAGCAGTGCTGCTACCTCCTCCCCCATGATTAATTATTGTCATTATGAGGAGTGTGGGTGTCTGCTTTGCCCTACTGCCCAGGATTCCTGCTTGTATCCAGTGTTTTCTGATGTGGGGCTGGTGGTACCTGTGCCACCTACCTGCACTGTGACTTGGCTTCCCATCCAACAGAATGGGAGGTAGCAGTGGGGACCTGGGGGTTCCAGCATCTCACAAGGCTGTTTCCTAGGCAGGCACTGTGGGAAGTGAAAAGGGGGAAGGGTTTGCCTGGGGTGGAGGGAGCTGTGTTACTGCCAGGAATAGCACCCAGGCATCCCATGACCCGAGCTCTCCTGCACAAAAACATGATAAGGTTCCCAGCACCAGGCACTGAGCAGCCATAGGAGAGAGCACTGCTGAGACTGCTGTCAGTGCTGCCTCTGAGGATGAGCAAAGTACCTATTAGGAGCTGATGAGCAGAATGGCACTGAACCTGACTCAGCTCCAATGTTAGTCATCATTCACCCTCTGCTGTCGCTACGGGGAGATCTGCTGTCCCACACTTCCTAAGTGTGTCTCACGCTTTCTCTGTAGCCTTCTCAGTTTCTCGGGTGCAAAACTCAAGCTTTGGACAACAGCAGGAGCAGTCAGTTATGTTCTCACTCTGTCTGCTTTGGAAGTCCTGCAGCGTGCTGGTGTGACCACAGCCATAGGAGCGGGGCAGTTCAGGATAAATCAAAAACAAAAGTGCCATTATCCATATGGGACCTCACGAGCGCATCGCGTCCCCCAGCAATTCCAAGCACTCTGGGTATGGTTCTCGCTTGGTTTTAACTCAATTTCTTTGAGATGCAAATCAGAGGGATTATATTCAGAGGCTGCATCAGAAAGTCTTTAATCCAAATGGGCTATAAGATTTATTTGGAAGAGCCAAATGTCTTGTCTGGGACAGAAGCAACCGAGCTGAACTGAAACAGATGGACATAAAGGAAATTAAGCAACTCTAATGGTCTTATCCAGAGTTTCAAAGTATTTGGTCTTCGGAAAGCTCCAGCTCCTGGAAGCACGTGATGAGATGGGGAGATCAAGTTTCATTTAAAAA